AGCAAAGGGACGCTGAGCCAGCCTGAAGCTGGGGCAGCCACCTGGGCAGCACAAAGGCAGTAACTGGTGCTTTTTCCCTGTACATCTCTGCTCCTCACAGCACCCACCTCACAGGAGTATCCTCCCAGGTAGTCTGTGCAGGTGGCTCCATTCTGGCAAGGGTTTGGGGAGCACTCGTCCACCTGCTCCTCACAGTAGCTGCCGGTGTAGCCAGCCTGGCAGCGGCAGAAATGAGTGTTGCCAGTGTCCACACAGAGCCCTGAATTCCTGCAGAGATGCGCTACGTCGATACCTGCCGAGGAAAGCAGAGTGAGATGCAGGGACCTCAGTGACATCCACACACCTGGGGCCACGTCTCGGCCACCGCATGTCCCACCAGGGATTGCAGCCTCGAGGGGTTCATGTTACAGCAATCCTTGAGATCGCTCCGGTTGTGTCAAAGGTCCCCACCAAGGGAAAGGAGCACGTCCCTGCTCAGAACCCAGCACAGGGGACACCTGGAGACCCCTCCCCGGCCCTTTGAGGTTGAACATATGGCAGGGACTGACCTTGCTGCTTAGCAGCCACCTCGCAGGAGACGCTGGGGACATCGCAGTAGAGCCCTGTCCATCCGCTGTTGCACTCGCAGCGATACAGGTTGTTGGTCTGCCAGCACTTGCCTCCGTTTTTGCAGGGAGAAGAGTCACACCAACGCACCAGATTCTGGGGGCAACAGAGGAAGAGATGGGGGTCAGGACCCAGCAGATCTTCTGCAGGAGTGGAGGTTGCAGTGAGCCCCCAAATCCCCACAGCCAGCAGGCACGGGCAGGCACTGGGGTCAGCAGCCAACAGCTCAAAGCTCCCCTACCTGGCAGTTGAGCCCAGTGTATCCCTGGGGACAAGTGCACTTGTACGTCCCATAGCTGTCCTGACACGTGCCCCCATTCAGGCACGGCTTGGAGTCACACTCGTTAATGTCATGCTCGCAGTAGCTGCCCGTGAAGCCGGGCGGACAGAGGCAGGTGAAGGTGTTGATGCCATCCACGCAGGTCCCACCATTGAAGCAGGAGCTGGGAACACAGAAATCACGTTCTGGTGAGTGACCGCTGGTCGTGCTCCATGCTGATGCCCCCACAAACAGACCCACGGCTGTGGGGCAGCGCAGACACCTCAGCCCCTCATTCCAGCCCAAATAAAAGCTGCACCCCTGGCAGGAGCTGTGCCGGGCTGTACCTCTCAGTGCAGTCAGGAGTGTTGTTCTCGCAGTGGATGCCGCTGAAGCCAGAGGGGCAAGTGCAGGTGTAGCTGTTGACACAGTCAGTGCAGTTGGCACCATTCTTGCAGGGGTTGCTGGCGCACTCGTTGATGTCCTCCTCGCACTTGGGCCCACGGAAACCAGCCAGGCACTCGCAGAAGAACGTGCCAACGCCATCGGAGCAGGAGCCACCGTTGTGGCACGGATCTGGAGAGGAGAGACAAGCATGTGAAGATTCAACGGGTCCAGTGCTGGTGCAGAGGTCTTGCCCAAGAGCTGCCCCACAGCAACGTCCCCACACGTGTCCCCTGGCTGTGTGGAGGGATAGGACAGAGTCTGTGGACCAGGAAGAGGCCGGGCTACTCCCACTGGGGGACTGGGCACAAGGAAGGCACGTGGGATGTGCTTGCTCACTGCCCGCACATCACTCTCCCCCTTGCAGCCTCCTTCCTGCCAGCTCCCATCTGGCCTCAGACTGACGCAGCTCAACCGTGACGTGCTTGAGGTGGCCCAAAAACCCAAGTGGGGCTTGCACTATGGCCCAGGCCAAAGCAGCAGCTGGGAAGGAAAATCTCAGCTCTGGGGCCAGCAGAGGAGTCAATGGCTCCACGGCCAGGCCGAGCGTGGTCCCCAGCGCAGCCCCTGCTCTTACTGGGCTTGCAGTCGTCGATGTCAGTGTCGCAGTTGCGGCCGGTGAAGCCGGTTCTGCAGGCACAGCGGTAGCTCCCGTTGGTGTTCTGGCACGTGGCCCCGTTGCGGCAGGGGCTCTTCACACACTCGTTGATGTCGATCTCGCAGGTCTGACCTGCGGGTCAGAGAGAGACGGGGACCACGTGGGCTGGAGGTGCTGGTAAAAGCCCCAGAGATGATGGTGACAACGTTTTGGGCACCCCTCACACCGGGGTGGGAGCCCTCACAGCAAATCACCCTCGTGAAGGCTTCATCCCACCCCTTGACCACCGCCACGGGGCAGGTCAGGTCTCTCCCCAAGGCTGGGCATCTCACAGGGCTTCTC